AAGGAATGTATGGAGGATAAAGAAAAGATTATCCAAGAAATAAGTGGGAAGGAATAACCCATTAATCATATCTGCTGTTTGAGTGTTACACTCCGTAGCTACTCCCTTTTGTGTTGCACTGAGAATATTGTCGCCAGGGTATTTTGTAATTGGATCGGAAATAAAATTAACGATTAAAACATAACAGTAATTGTTAATATTTGAAATATAAAATGCACATAGTATAAAGAAATAAAGTAAAAACAAAAATGTTCCTTTACTTAGGCTGTAATTATACCAAAAGTCGCACTCAGGTCCTTAAAATAAAGCAACTACAGTATTTTTGGCGCTTTAATAAATCACGTTAGGCAGCTTAACCAAAGTACTTGTCATGACATGCACAGCCTATTAGTGACAAAAGTTTCAGGACAAGCCCATAGAGTTCACTACATGACCATGAATTCAAAATCGCACATAATAGGTACAAAATATAGTCAATCCAACCAATTTCGTTCGTAATGCAAAAAATAATATTCTAGACACATGATAATTTCACAAACATTCTCTAAGATCATTCATCAATATGAAAACTAGTTTATTAAATCCCTGTTCACGAAAACTCACATTTGTTTTAGGATTTGCGCTAACAAAATACCTAATATTTCGAGGCATTAAAACAAACAGGGCAGTTCGAAACAATGATTGAAAATGACATGTAACATGAGATATGTTAGCCAATAAAATACCACATCCTATGAGATGTTTGTACATAAGTTAATTCCTTTATTGATTCTGTTAGTAGAACCCGAAATATATATGTCCTTAGCACATGTTTACGTATTAGCAAATAAAGTAATATGCCTACCCTTTATTTTGAGCATATTTGAATCGAAAGGCTGGAAAAATTTTACGACTGTCCTCCTTATAATGATACATAAGTACGCACATGATTTTTCACACACTACTTGATTCTGTGTGCCTAATGGTCTGTGATCATATAAGCTAGCAGAGCACTTTGGTTAGAGCATGTTTGTAAGGCAAGAAAACAATACTTAAAATGGAAGTTTCCCTCTGAAATATATAGTTTTTGAGTTACTTTCAGACGGTGTAATGTTGAGCTTCAAGTAAAGTTAAATTATTCAGGTTCGCCGAAGCACTCAGTATGTTGATTTAATCAGCTCTTACCCTTCTATAGCAAATTAAGAGTGAAATCACATGATGAGCTCTGTCTATATTTTTTAAGTGTGTTATCAGTAAACCTTTGAACTCATTTCAGGTTATTAACATTCTAGGTAGATTATCATATCCTAAATTCCAACTCTAATCATTTCTTAATGAAAGGTTGATTGAAGGATTAGCAACCCTCAGGTAAACAACGCGGAAACCCAAATTCATAGTTGCGAACGGCTAAATGTCATTGAACGGTTATGAATTGTCTAAACAGTCTTCAGATTATAGGCTTACAGAGCGAAAATTAAGAATACCAAATCGAAGTTTAAGATCAAACATATGCATAAATCAAGTTCAGAAGTTGGACGAAGAAGACAGACTAAAAGCTCTAGTTGTCAATCACCCAAGTACTTTGGGTTTTTCCCTTAACAAATGTGATGCACTTTTTTATGTTTCAAGATGTGGATAGATGGAAGTTAAAAGAACCTCAGGAGTCAATAGAACGGATGGATTTTGGCATTATTAGAGGGTTTATGAGATCTCTATGAACCCTGGCCAAGTCATTAATCAGTGGATTACTGACTATTCATCGAGAAGCCAATTCACCTAGTAATCCTGTCAGGATAAGCCGGGTTAGGTATTAACTTCTATGTGTTAGTTAGATGCAAGCCAGTGGGCTGCACCGTTCCCATCCAACCACAACTTAGTACATACACATCGGTGAACTACAATTTTTTGTGAATTTCTCTGTCACCCTAACCACTAACGTCTATATTCATTCACAACAAAGCCATTGATAATAAAAAAGACGGTAAGCGTTTATCTACGAATATTATAATTTCAGGAAGTTGTACGCTCCAATCGTTCAGTAGCAGTATGTTTCATCGAGGCTCTATTTACAGTTGACTTTATATAAAATAACCCTATACAGTTTATTGTTGTCTACGTACATAAGGACATATGCAATATGATTTTCGTTGTGGTGATTAATAAATATGCAAAATCGTAGGAATTCCCGGACCCCTGTAGTTAACGCCCCTCAAATTATACCCGTGTTGATTTTGACAAGGAACTGTCACTTATTTAGGCATTTCTTTGCTGAAAACCAAGTGTGTGGTTCTATTTAATTCTAATAATGTCTGTGACCAGTGACATCACATCAAGTCTCAATGGATCATTCAGGCAGTAAGTAAAATTGCATCACTGAGTTCACGATTGACTCCTCAGTCACACTGACGGCAGATAATGTAAAGTGATAGAATGACACGTGCCTCACGCTTTCTCCAAAATGTGGCATCATCGCGGCTCGAGCCTATCCCACAGAAATGTTCATAGGACAACCTAAGTTGTTCCGCATAGTCGGGTGGAGAGATATGCTTACATTATAAGGGGAGATGCAGTATAAAAATTCCACCAAGTATATGGAAGAGGTGTCTTTTACGAAGCGTTGAGACGTACTCTGGTGACAACGCTCATACATTCGCTTACTTATCCTCTACTCCATGCACCACTAAGTCAATGAACTTGACAGAAATAAACAACTATAATAACTAATTTCCAGTGATTTGCTACTTTGGGTCCGTTCATAAGAATAATTTAATTTGAACTTCAAGTTAATATGTAAATGATGACGCGGGAGCAGACGATGAAAACTTTTGACATTACTCTTGTCCGTCGTTCGAAAATCAAATAAATTTTTGACAAATAAAAAGTTTAGTGATTCTCTACACAATGAGATTATTGATAACAATATATTACGAATTCGTCATAAACATTATTTTGTCGTATTGCAGCTCCTGTTTTGAAGGCCCAAATAAAGTGGGAAAAATAAAAAGCGGACACAATATGCATGTTGATTAATACCAGTGTACCTAAAAGTATGTGCTTCACTTTTCAGTAGCATGCTACTATATTCATGAACCATCGACGACTTCAGTCTCGTGATTCCTTAGTGATCTCTACAGTATAATTAATTCGGGATTAGAATACGATTCGGACACTAACTTTCCCGCCCCCAAAGTCGAAGCGTCAACAACATAAATGATACTCACAAATGTGAATGCTGACCCAACTTGTAACACTGGAGTACATACTCCTACCACCATAAGCTGGAAATCAGCTCATTCTTGTTCACTACACCTGCTTAAAACCCTTATGATGATAATTTGTAATAAACATTAGAAATAAAAAACATCCAACTCATATTTGCTAAATGAAAACATGCTATGCAAATTCCTGCATTTTTCATTAAAAAGACTATATAACCTATACTAAGCGCTATGAAATTCACTCCATAAACTGGCACTGAAACTTAAGAAACCAATAATAATTTATAGAACTTATGAGAATAATGCCACTTCGAAATGTCGGACTTCATATCAACACAACGGAAGCAGTGACCAACGAATTGAGGAGCCATAGAAATAACAGTGTCACTTGAAATGGAAAAGTAAACATGATGGTCGCTCAATATCGCGGATAGATTTAGGTTGGAAATGTATATCACTGAATGCCAACTAAATAACCTAAAGGTTAAGAGCCTACCGACATAGCCCAGTGATGTGTCTGACACTTAATAGGGTTATGAATGCACATCCCTTAGAAGTCCCATACTAGGGTGAAACAGCCATCTGTTGCCTCCTGGTTTTCAGGTTTCAAACTTAGAATGATAAGTACTATACAAATTGAATAAATTATGAAGAACGAAATGTTGGGAGTGATATTAAACTCAACATTTGGAGGCGGGTGGTCAAGACAATTAAGCCACTTGACGGTAAAGTAGAACTCTCATAGGTTATTGAAACTGCTAACATCTGCTATGAGTCACAGAATAAGGAAAGATGCAAGCGCCTTGCAACAAGGATGTTTTCAGCGTATTTATGTAAATAAATCGTTACATGAACATGCACATTATTCAATAAAGCCACACTAACCCTATAAATGCAGGATCCCGAAAATAGCTGGTCCAACTTAGGGACAGCTTGTTTAGACCACCTATGAGTATTATACCTATTCAGGCACCTACTACTCATAACGTTTTATTACTAAGAGTAGTAAAATAGTATCTTGCGAACTAGTTTCAGATCTTCAATTACCTGCAGTGCGATTACTGTACTTGAAAGCTAAACAATCATCTTTAAAATACCATTTCGATAGGACCGTAATTACTCGTTTTTCGGTAACCAAAGCATAGCTACGAAGAAATATGAGTAGACAGGAGCTATGTGACAAAGACTTTAAAAAGTTGATAGTAAACTGACAAAGTTAAAAATAGCATGAATTAAGGATTTCTTGTATAGCTCACAAAATAAGTCAAACAACATGATAACGCAAGCAGAAGTGATTGTTATTATTATTATTACTATTATTATCGTTATTATTATTATACACTAACAACGTATAACATGGATGGATAGTGACAAAAAACACAACGTTGCATCACCAATGATTTTACACTCAAAATATTTTATATTCATCTATCTTTGAACCTTAATACTGCATAAGTTTTAATATCATTACTTCAGTTTATATTCGTTGGTGTATAACATGATATACAGGGTTTCCTAATTAAAATAAACTAATCATAATGTCCTTTTCTTGTCAAATTCATAATAAAAGCAAATAAAGCAGAAAATTTATAAACTGGTTTATGAGAGAATAAAATTGAACAAAAAAGACTACCATTTATAAACTGAATGATGAATACAGATTATCTTTAAGAAAAATCACACGATAATCAAGAAAAGTAAATGCATTTTGCCTCTTGCAACAAAATAATAATGCAGCATAAAAAAAGAAATGACTAGTTAACGGATGCATACAGATTCATTCATAAATAAATTCTTTTTCTCTTATTGAATATCACCATATCGAGTATATAATGTATATAATAAACGTAATGTTGCCTTTAAATCGTGACGTAATACACTTTCAGGTTGATTATATTCTAAGTCAATACCTTCAACATCATGAGCCAATTGAAAGGCAACTTGAAGATTAGCCAACTTTTGAGCATCTGTTGTTGGTGTGATATGATAAGCATGCAGTGGAACAAAATAGTTGCCAAGTAAACCAAGTAATAAAATGAAGTAGACACCATCACTCATCTTTGAAAAAAAGTATTAAAAAAAGAGGATAGATAGAAAATCAATGAAATTGAAACAAACCAACGTTAATTATCAAAATAGATTAAAAAGGAAATCAAGTAAAATTTAGTTTATTGACTTTTATGCCTGGAATATTGTCTTATGACAATAATATGGACTTTACTCATGAAAAAGATAATTGAAAACCGGAAAGTTCTGGACAGATACTTTTTTGTTCTAAGTAAAATACTGTCAAATGATACATACCTAAAACATTTAAGGTAAGACACAAGTAAATTAACGATATATTCAAACTTAATCAATTTCAATGCAATTAAGTGATTACTCGCTACTATTGCAATCTGACTTTTATTGACAGGCAATAATAAAAACACAGCAAACAGTCAACTTTGTTTACATAGTTCTATGCTATTTTCGAACAAATAATCTTATGAAAAAATCTTTACTTAAAAATAAAACTGATGAAAATTGGTAAAACTTCTATGGTATGATAGTTACCCAATTCATAAATTAGTGAAGAAGCATTACTTTTAAAACTGAATTCATGATTTTGTTATGATCAAGTTCAACTTTAAAACCATCATCTTTTTATCAAATCATGACTTTAAAACATAATTTGAAAGAATAGTAAAGCAAAGTTAGTAAAACACTAAATTTTTTCAAAACACAAAAATATCAATCGTAAAAATAATTAATTTTTTAGGTAAAATTTATTATTATATTAAAATAAAACAAAATGTTTATTCTAATCCTAAAACGTCTATCAATTCAAGAGCCCCAGAATGCCCTGGTGCGACCGAGAGTGGGGAAAGTTCGCTCTCTCTAGCAATGCTCTCACATAGCCACGTGCATACAACCACTACCAGAGAAGTTCTACTCACTGCCTTCTTGTGTTAGGGGTGTTGTTTACGAAATTCAGAGGACGAAGCGCGAATGTCTGGAGCTTTAACCGGGTTGGTAGATACGGAGGATCCACCTAGCGGAGTTGGAAAACCCTGATTCCAAACCAATGGTGCACATGGGCTCCAGGATCCTAAGGGAACAAATGGCGCATGAACCTATTGTTGGTCACCTGCTACCATGGGACTGCATCTCCTAATGTTCCTCCACTGCCTTGTAGATTAGACCTTTATACTCGAGGTGTGGTCTCCTAAGGAAACCACCTGCTTCACTCTGGGCACCCGGGCAGTATCACAGCCCTCACACAAGTTAATAATAACTGCTACTGGTCGCATTGTTATTGTGTGGCGCATATGTATTTGGTGCCCCCTTGTACCAAAGTTTATGTATTCAAATAATAATAATCATAACAATAATAACTTCAAGAAACGAATTTAATCAACTCCCAGAAATTTACAAATCACATTCCAGTATTCATACAAAAGGTAAGTTGTAAGTACTAAGCAGATTTTCTGACTAATCGAGTCATGAAGATAATTTATATTATTTTAGAAAGTCAGATATTCTACATAGACCCGATATCTTTTTGGTAAATCCTCTGCTAGTACAAGCATAAATGATAAATCAATGTGATTGTCTGTTTATAAATTTTGATGTATGTTTTCCTTATAATCATTTTTGTTTTAGTTAATATCGAAGAATTCTTGGCTAACTTAGCGTGTAAATAAATGAATTTCATTTATTATGTAACACTTGCTTGTATAATTTATCAATTTCTGTGTAGTACTTGTTCTTCTTACCATCCCTTTCCATTCTCCCCTGGACTCTTGAAAAAAAAATTATGTGAAATGTAAGCTTTTGAAAGTAACCAGGAGGATTAGTGGTAATAGACATTTAAACTTTATCAAAATTGTAATTGTAGATTGGAATCTTACAAGTAATCGGTCATTGATATTTTATCTCATACAAGTTAGATGGCCTACTATATATATATATCATAGGCTTACTTCATTTTCCAAATCAGTAACATGTAGATTCAGTTTATTCAAATTACGATTTACAAATGTTTTTAAAGTTTGTTGAAATGAAGCCAATTGTTCTGGTATGGCACAATCGACCAATGCACTTATAGCATCATGATCAGTTTCTGTATTATCTAAAATACAAAAAAATTATGGGAAAAACTGGAAGAAGTGGATTTACGAGATTTTGCGAACATATTCCTCGAAAGTTATGCATGAAAAAAAGTGAAATATTTAAAAGTGCGTCCACCAGATGGATAGTGGACACAATGCAGGCATAACAAAGGTATTTAAAATAATTAATAAGCAGCGAATACCACTTTTACTCAGTTTCTCATAGGCCACTCTCATCAAACAATTTCAACATGAACTTTACCATCGTAAGATAGTTACATTACTAAGATCTTTGTCAATTAAATAAAGAAAGAACAAATATCTTACTTCATTCAAGGTTATAAATGGGAAATGTGTGAAACTTTGTTAATTACCTCATCTCTTTATTGTATTTTGTAACTTCGATGAAAAGATTTCACCGACATTTACTCATGAAGCTAACTTGAATTTGTATCACTTTAGTGCCTTGACTTGTTACTATTCCCTTTCTTTATTATTATTTATCCTTTTAATCCCCCTCTTTACATATCTTCAGATTCTATATATATATATATATATATATATATATTTATATATATATACTAATTAATCTTAACTGGCATTTTAAATATGTTGTTTCCATTTATCGTTTCTTATCTTGTTTCAAATTTGTATCATTAAGGTTTATGAAGAAACACATATCTGATAATCCTATTAAATAATATCTTCGGAAAACAATACGTTAAAAATAGAAATATGCATATATAAAGTTGAGTTACTTTGTCTCTCTCTCTCTCTCTTTATCTTTCTCTACCACTGAATAAAAGCCATAAATATTACACATGCTAAACAAATCCAAGTTAAGAAGTATATAAATGAATGAAGAATTGAAAACCACTTACATTCAACAAACAAAATAATTAAATAACATGCGATCCATGAATGTATTTTCAGAACATTGTAATGAAATACCTTACTCTACTTTGTCAAAAACACATGTAATTTCATTCACATATAAAAGATGAATTAAACAACAATCTAAACTGAAGGACTCGAATACATTTTAATGTTTAGAAAAACGTTTTAGAAAAAGAAAAGTAAATATCAACATCTTTTGCCAGTACCCGAATATATATCCTTACCAAATTCATTATAAAGAGTTATTTCTTAGTATTAAGTTAATAGTAATTCTCAAACCGACCTTTCACATATATGGTATTTTAGACAAACATTCATACATTAAAAAATTATTTGAATAAAACAAATCATTTATCAAAGTTTGATATATATATACCTTGTTCATCTCCAATATCAGTAATTGGTTCAATTTGACGTCTATGTTGTAAAATACCATTGATTTTCCGAACTATTAAAACAGTTAGTTGAACTTTACGTGGTAGAATTATGGCTGGAGAAAATTTATGAACTAATGCCACCAATAAACGTAGTATAGCCACTAAATCTCGATTATACACAGCAGAAACAGGCCATAGTTGGGCAGCACGAACAGGTGATATGCCTAAGGCACCATTAATTTCATCAATTACAATCTAATAAATATAAATTTAAAGATATTGAAAAATCATAAATAATCATGATTGAATTCATCTACACAACTAGTTTTAGTAAACTTATATAAATCTACCAGTATAACTGTAACTATAAGGTTGACCTTGAATAATTCCTATAATGGTTTTGTGATTTCGAAGGCATTTTTCAGTCAGTAACAGAAGAGTTCATATAAATCAAAAATATTTTGTAGTAAGAGTATTGAAACCTGTTAAAGTTAAGTGGTTTTAAGTTTTTTTCTTATATTATCATCTTGGAATTATTTCTACATAACTAATTATTTCGAGTGCGAAAATATTCACACTAAAGATTATTCTTTGAATTCTTCACACAGCAACATATTGTTTTATATAAAATAAAATATCCTTTGAAAAATTTAAATTAATGAATACACCGAAGGGTTTTTTTAAGACAATAATATGAGAAAATCGGTTGTGGTAAGTCGTCGATTTTAGCATTGCTACTTCATGAATAGATCAATTATTTAGTGTATCATTAATAAAGTAATTTATTTGAGTTTACCACAGGAAAGCAAACCAATTTAAAGCAAAATCTCAATGATTCATTTATTATTATGTACAGTTTAAACAGAATGAAATAGGCATTGAAAATCTTCAACGAGGTGCTTTTTCCACTATATGATAACCAAAAGACTGCTTTCTTTAGACGATTAGAACACTGAAAAAAACATTTTCATTTGTATTGCAATTTTTGCATAAACCAAGATAAAAACCCTTCATTTTGTTTCACTACAAATGAAAACTTGAAAGTAGTTCTTGGCTTATCCCAACTAATTCACCAGACTATAATGACGTAACAGAAGCAAGGTAGGTTAAAGTCTGGAATATTCACAAAAATAATAATCTGGTTAACACATTTCACATCCCTTTTGACGTAATTTACGAAACTTACAACCTTATCAGTTCAAATTCAGTCGATAAGTAGTTTGTGAGATCATAGTAGTAAAATAAAAAGTCCACAATAATAAACTTTGATCATCAGGTGTGAGGTAGTTGGTCACTGAAGACAATGGAAGGTGGTTTTGTGCAACCTCGTAGGCTGATTAATGTTAGACATTACCACCGTTCAATGCCGACTAAATGGTCTAGAAGTAAGGCGTTTGAGCGCGAGGCTGAAGGTCCTGAACTCGATTCCTGAGTGAGAGATCATGGACCACCTTCTATTATCTTCGGTAGATGCGAACTGCTGAGTTGTATACTAGGAGAAAACAAGCATCCAGTGCTTCCAGACTTTCAACGGTGGTCTAACTTAGGTCAGTTCATGATTTCAATAATACATTTTTAATTCACATTAGGTTTAGATCCAGTTTTCCGCTTTCAATTATCGTAATATTTATTAGGTTTGTTTGATGACTCTTAATGATCTGTACATTAGCAGCTTAATTGTGAGTATAAAAACACAGCGATTTGAATGGTTCTTACAAATTTTATTTCGTTTCTACATTTTGCAAGATCGTTTACCGAAAAACACCTTATTTATATTACAAGGATTGACACAAGTCTACGAGCTTATTATTCCTATAATTGAAATTTGAGCAAACCTTGGTGTTAGATGATAATAGCTAATTAATTTTCGGTCAACCATGATGTTACAGTGACAACTTAAATAGCATTCAACAAGGAAAATATGTCTAAAAATGACAAATCACTTTTGGTAGAAAAAGAATGTGACTTACTTTTAAACGTTGTTTTTGACCTATTTCAGTCTGAGCTACTTCTGGATGATCAATTTTAATATTTAACAATTTTTCAATTAGTTTTTGCAATACTTGCCCATCATATAAGTCTGCTTCTAGATCACGTACTAAAATTCTGTCGTCTACAAGTTCAGTATTAATCCATTCAATAAGTGAGCATGATAAATCATGAACTAATGGATGATCCTAATAGAAGAATTTTTAAAAGAAAAGAGAATCTATGTAGATGTATATGCAAATCCCAATCAATAAATTGATAAGAAGCCAATTGTGTAGTATTACAGTAGATGCTATCTGTAATTGTTTTCCTTGTTTTCGTCAACCCATCAAGACAGAATACATATATTGGAATAAAATTAAAAGGTAATGGAGACAAATAAAAATTTTCTATGATCAAATTCTCTGCTAGAAAGGAATAATATAACTTAAGAGTCAGTAAGTCAGCCACAACGTAGGACCAGACGCATATATGCATCGGTCCAAGTTGCCACACCCCATTAGCACAAAAAAATGAACATCAAATCCAAAGAAGCAATTAACTCAATGGTGTAATATATAAAAGAAAGATTGCAGATAGGGATATAGTACAGGAAAGAAGTTAGTTTGTAAAAAGAAAGATATGAAATAATTTAAATCTCATAGTTTAAGGGAAGACAGGGAGTGCAAACACATACGCCATTGTGATCGATTCTGAGTCATGTCACCCAGTTCCCAAGCATTGGATACGATAGTCATGCGGACCCCAAACAAGTAGTTTGCATCTACCAACATGGCTCAGACTAGAAGTTAGTGAATTCAAGCACTGATGCCACGTTTTGGTTTGGCCACCCCTAACTTTCTTCCAAAATTCCCCAACACTAGTAAGCATTGCGCGTCGTGGTAATCAGTGTTCAGGCATACGCAACACGTGGCCCAATCATCTCAGCTGGTGAAGATTCATAACCTCATCAACTGATTTACCATCATCCCCTAATACCCTACGCCTAACCTCACTATTACTTATCCGGTGATCGCAACACATGTGAGCAATATTTCTAAGGCATCTGTAGTCAAATACTTGTAGCTTACGGGTGTCTTCGACCTTTAATGACCACGTTTCGCAGCCGTAAAGTAGGACAAAACGAACTGCCACGCAGTATACTCGTCCCTTAATTGATAGACGGATAGGTGACGTAAGTTGACAAAAGCCAAAACAGCTTTCTGAATCCGTGCTGAGATTTCGTCAGACACCAATCCATTAGGGCTGGTCAGACTTCCAAGATAAGTGAAGTTGTCGAAGCGTTCGACTACTTCACTCCCTATCCTTAGTTTAGGTGTTGACGCAAACCAGTCCTGAAGCAACAACTTGAATTTAGAGGGAGAGAAGCGCATTCCAAACATTCTGGCATTGGTGCTTAGTGCTACCAAAAGACTCTGCATTTTATCAGCGTCTTCACCAAACAGGACTATGTCGATAAGTGGACCTCCTGGAAGGAGACCAACACCCGAGAAGTCAGTCGACGAGAGCGTTGTTTCCATCAGTAGGTCTATCATAAAGTTAAACAGAAATGGAGATAGTAGACAGTCTTTCCAGAACACCACTCGAGGTCTCAAAAGCATATGACAGTTCGCCATAAGCTCCGACTCGACTGGCAGTGATCCAGTAAAGAGCCTTCACAAGGTCTATGTAATTCTGAGGTACGCCTTTCAATGACAGACACTGCCACAGAACTTCTCGGTCGACAGAGTCAAATGCTGCTCTTAATTCAATAAGGACCACCATTGTCGGACGCCGATAAGCATGCCTGTGTTCTAGAACCTGAAGAATGGTGAATATGTGGTCGATACAGCCACAATCAGGTCTGAAGCCAGCTTGATTCTCGCGTGTTTGCAGTTCACGAGTCTTAGTTATGCGTCCGATAATTATCGAGGTTAGTATTTTAGATGCTAATCCCTCTATGGTTGCCATAGGATGATTTTGACCTTCTCTCATATATTGGCACGATAAGTGATTGCAACCAGTCACATGGGATTACATCCAGTTCCCAGATTGTGACTAAAATGTTAGTCAACCCAATCGCCAAAACCGGACCACCATACTTAGAGAACTATGGAGCTAATCCATCTGGACCAGATGCTCTTCCCCATTTCAGATCAGCTATAGATTTGAGCTTCAATTAAAGTCGGTGTGCCTACTTCAACGTCCAATTCAGTCTGTTTAGGAATGGTAACTAGCTGTAGAGTAGCTGAAGGTCAGCTAAACTGCTCCATAAAGTGTTCCGCCCACCGTTTTAAACGTCTGGGTTGAGAGCAGATAACAGTGTCGTCTTTTTCCGAGACAGTCTCACTTACACTTGACTTCTTAATTCCAGTTTCTTTATTAGTCTGAAAAGCTGTCTGGTGTTACATGCAGCCGCTGACTTTTCCTTCTCTTTTGCTTTCGTTGCCCACCACTGCTCACGGTCGTTCCTAAGACTTTTGCTTAACCTAGATCTGATTTGTTTTCGCTAGTTGTCGTGTTCGGAGCCAGATAGAATGAGTGCAATAGACTTAGCAGAAATCCACTGGTTTTCCGTTACCCTTTGGTTTAAGTCACTAGCAGATGTCACTCCTCATTCCACAGCTGCTTGTATATCTTTCCAAGCAACATGTGGGTCAGCCTCGTTTTCAAAACTGACTAAGTTTAACCCCAGTTGTTTCTAATATCTACTTTTGGCTTCCTCGTCACTGAGTTCAACTCTGATGGGTCTTCTTAATGTAGCTTTTCTGCATCCAGAGAGGCGCAAGCAAATGCGTGCCCGTATTAGAGCGTGATCAGAGTCTAAACGCGTACTCCAGAACGAGCAGCAGTCTTCTATAGAGCCTCTCAAACGATGACTGATGGCAATATGGTCTATTTGAGTCCATCGTTGGTTTGGTGCAGGTGGTCACCATGTTACACGATGTCTTTCCATATGCTTAAAATTACTGCTTGCTAAAAATAAATGATTTTCTGAACACAGTTGTACCAGACGGTCACCATTATCTGTTCGCTGAGCCGGAATACTAAAATACCCGCCTAAATGTCTTCCTGTTTGGTTTAAACTACATAACTAGGCATTAAAGTCACCTGCTACGAGTACTATGTCTGGGTGCTTAGCTTAATGAAGAAGTTCAGAAAGCTTTCTGTAAAAGCCATCTCCCACTTCATCTGAGCTGCAGTCAGTGGGAGCGTAGGAAGAAATGACGAAAAGACAAGGACGTGTGTTCCTATCCTTTTGAGTTCTTACGGAGCCGTTTAGTCGAACAACAGATGTGCGACTGTTAACGGGGATCCGTTATAATAGTGTTTGTTCTGCCCTCGTACTCAGTGCTATGCCTATACACGCCAATTCACGAGAACTAGCCATCAGGTCGCCAGACAAACGAAGGGCGTGTCTCGTCGATTAGTCCAGTAGGCAAGCCCGACCACTACGTCACGGTAGTAGCAATGGTGGTAATATAATTCAATAAATTAATCGTATTCGTTGGTTGTAATTTTTTAGTACTGTAAATTATATTTTATTCATGCATGATTAATTAACATCAACTGCTACTTACTTCAATTTATTAAAAACCTGATTATTAGTCAGTTTAAATAAAATATGTGGAAATTATTATATTCAGATATCAATTTACGTGAATAGTAAATCTTTATATATCACTTTTATCTCCTTCCTTGCACTGAACCATAATAGTTTTTATTTAGTTCATACTCTCTAGCAGATGTACATAAAAAGCATGAATAGAAGTGCTGTACTGTAGCGAATTAAAAATTACACGCTACCAACTTTTAGTTTGATTACCAAACTGTCTTAATTTTATACATGTAATCGCTAATTATTATTGATTGCTTTTATTATTAAAATGTAAATGCACTCTATGTTCGTACCACTGCATCACCTTGCTTCTTTTCTCTTGTTCTCTTTTCAAGAGTCCAACACACACACATGTATACGAAATATCTCAAGGCTACATGCAAACCAGTCAAAGGATGGTTACAGTACTACATCAAGAATAAATAGAAATTAAAAGTGTGAAACACTGAATTGAAATTCAATGGTCTAAAGACAGTATATTCCACAAAACCTGAACCTGCATATAATAAAAATAATATATTTGTAATATCCCAGTGAGTCCAAACTTGGTCAGACCTGTTTTTTATTGATTGCACCTGATATTCTGGTTGTCTTTGTGTACTATTTAGACGGGCTAATTTAATTTGGTTATTTATTCTCTAAAGAAGTGGCCTATACTGAGTCACGGAACGTCAGAAAACTTAGAAAATTAGTTTTTCTACTTATTGAGATATTACAAATATTTTATTTTTATTTATAACAATCTACTCAATGTTCAGTTTATTCGAAATTGTCAAGTCATTGGTAATGATACTTACTGAACCTACATAGTTCAATCCCTTTTTAATTCATAGTTCCGCACTGTTGAAGAGTCTAGGAGAAGTAAAAAACATCTTTTCAATTGATATCGATTCGTGATAAAAAGTAACCTGCAGACAGGAACCATCAATTTTTCGTTAAGTTCAGATACTAATAACATTGATGTAAACATGGAGGACCTGGTGCAGATATAAAGGCGAGGATTGGCAAAGCAAGAATAGCATTTCTACAGTTGAAGAACATATGGAACTCAAAACAACTCTCAACCAATATCAAAATTAGTATCTTCAATATGAACATTAAAACAATTGGTTCCATTGTACGGAGCTGAAACTTAGAGAACTACAACAATCATCATCAAAAAGGTACAAGTATTGATAAACAATTGAAACTAAATTTTAAACACCAAACTTACTCTGCTAACGTCATTTTTTCAGCATATCGTATTTCAAACGGGAGGTAAATTAACAAAACGAAAAGCATTAAATAATATATAAATAAAAATAAATTTCTGCATTCATGCATGGTATGACTAACTTTTGACTGAGGTTCTATCATAGAGCGTTCTTCACCCTCAGCCAACTGATAACCATCAGTACCGAGATCGAGTGGAGCAGGAAGTAAAGGGTCCTCCATAGCCTGCCGTGCTTCAGCTGCCAACTCTTCAGCTTCTTGTTTCCGCCTCCGTGAACGTGACAGTGTGTTCAACTTAGCTAAGAAACCAGACTCTCGTGAATCAGCTCCGCCACCAACATTTGGACCATAGATTCCACCCCCAAAATTTGCAGCTCCTGGACCTACACCACGTCTGGGAGTCCCAGGGCTTTGAAGGTTGCCTGATTGTGGCTGCAGAATTGTTTATAAGAAGTGTGCAAGTAAATCAGGTTAAGTAACAACTAATTAAATTAAAATCAAAGAGATCCTTCGTCGAACAATGTTGGTCACCAACTATTTTTAATGGATGAGAAAAATGTAATTCTGTATTGGTTCACTAGAAGCCTACAGCGTGGCTTAATAGTATTACATTCACCGTGAGAACTTAAACTCTCTGATCTGATTTCACGAAGACTATGGGAGTGTTGATGTAGAAACATGCATCGTGATAAAACCGTTCCCACATATATATTATAAGCACTAAACATGAATAAATACACGTTCTGAATTGCACTCTTAGTCAACACCCAACATACAATGAGTTTTTAATAGAGATAATATTGAAATTCCCCTATACACGAAGTTCATATAATAACAAATTGATTACAAGTTAGTGTTTAATATAAACTAGAAAATATAAACCACTACATCTAAAAAGTATAATTTAAATAGTGAGTTAATAGTTCAAGTATAATGAATAAATGTATAGTATTTTCATTAGATTAATTCATGCATAACAGTTTCATAGTTAAATAAACAACAGGGATCACCAAAGTAGTATGTGTGAAGTAGATAAAAAGACTTGAAAAAATCGACTCATGAAAGTATTAGTATACAGATACTTGAATTCATGAAAATTCTTGATAAGAACCAACACAAATATAATGAAGTTGACTTAAAATTCAGATTAGAGTGACTTAATGTGTTTAGAATTACTTATTTAATCTAGACAAAAGAATGATCCCAGTTTAGAAAACTAGTAAAATACCAAATCAAAGTCCCACAGAAGTATTCTAGTTCATAAATCATATTTGTAAGCCGAAATTTCTATGTAAAAAGACCAGAAACAGTTATGAACTAAGAGCACCTTCAACAAAAAAATCACAAAACAAGCAAGTTATCAACTAAGCAAAAACAATAACAACTAGTTTCCGAGAGTCAACTAATCGTAAGACTTATATATTGTCATAATAATCATGGGTACTATATAGCTTCTTAATCATACTATGTACCTTAAAAAAGAACAAAGTCATTTCATCCTGGACATGCATATGCTATTCAGACGAACGGTAAGATAAAACAAATCAAATAAATATGGAACATTGTATTCGAAATTTAAAAGATGTAGATTCAATCTATGTGCTCAAACTTGGACTTAAAATCAGTTTCCCTAATATTTCCAAATAATGGTTATCAAATCAATGTTAAAACTACTTATTCACAACTAAACTTAGCGATGTACATAAGGGAAGAGTAGTAAAGAAGGGAATAATATCATCGCATAATGTACGCTGGACATTACCATCAAACTATTGAAAACAACCTCAATTTACGACTAAAACATGGAAGCGTTGTTGTATTTACATAAAAGATGATTTTATCGTGAGACTTATATTTATCTTAGACGGTAAGAAATAGATGCATGTAACTTTATTTAAACACAACCTTTCGAAGCAAAAATAACCCTTATAGTTTCGTGGCTCAATGAAAAATAGTATTGTGTCCTAATGAAGATTTCTGAGACGTGATAATAAGCATATATTTTCCAACCTTAGCAATTAACGTTTTCAAGTATTTTGCCTTTCACAATCACGGATGGATTAATCGGATAAAATTAGCATGGAAGTTAGTTAAAAGAAGTCCCTAAAACCTAACACACTTTCTGCAGAAAAGTGTCTGAGTCTAGAAGCTATTCCTCGGAAGTTTTTATTGTGTGGCAGTACTAGTGTATTCGCCTTATCAGAAACCTCGTCAACATACTGTCAATTCTCTTAGATTTCACTTCTTTCGTTGTGATGGTTAAACGTTAAATATACTGACGCTCGCACAATCTCCCCAAATTCCTACAAAAGGTATGTCTTTCATAAACCACGTCCACTTCAACGAGTCGAATCACCCAAACCCCAAACTCTATATCAGATTGGATAAGAAACACTAGTTTTCTAGACTGTATTATGTTAGGAAACGAGTAAATTTTATATTTCAGACAAGCACATGAAGCACGATTTAAGATGTTCATTTAACTTTCACGCGGTTTGGTGACTTCGTATAACTCAATAAACACTCATGACTTGATATGCAAACAGAAATGATTGCACTTTTCACATTTGGAAACTGCAGTATAACAGCTAATTGTATACTGTTTGACTGAATAGTCCTAGGAAGTCCCAAGGAGATCGCGAGCTCCGCTAGCCTACTAATTGTCCTTGGCAGCATTTTCGGAATATCATACTGAAGTGAAAATGGTAGATGATATCATAATTAGAGTAGTTAAAAAAAATCGGCCGACTGTCGTCCCTCCAGGAAAAATGGCCCCGATGCCTGTTTTTATGAGACACGATACATAAGAATTAGTAAGACAACTATTACAGCAATCCACACCACTTGTTACACCTGAAGGAAACAGTCCTAAACCTTTGGTAAGGGTTTATGAAAAACAGGTCGTTTAAATTTCGTTCGCGATAAGGGATCCATAAAGGTTCATTTGGTCTGGCTGCGAAGGCAGAATACTTGGGGCATTTTAAAATGCCCAAGGCAAATGACAGATACTAAGGAAGATCAAAAAAGTGTAAAGCTAGTTCCATTTACAAAACAGATTGACTTGTAAACAATTGTATCTAGCACTACCGAGAGTAAGAGAATATGATAACACACTGATTGGAGGACCTCTTTGATAGTTCACTTCTAGTAATTAGCTACACCCAGAGTGCAATAAAAGCATCGATCTTCAGACTTTTATCGAAGGTTAAGATAAAGCTAAAATAACAAACAATGAAGGGTCCGACCGCCTTTTGACAAGTTCTGAACGTGATAGTCCGTAACCGACAGTTAATTGAGTGAACTGTGTACAATATGGTCATGACAAGAGTACATTTCAAGTGTGCAGTTCTCTGAACAATTTGTAGGAATCAGGAATATATGATATTATCTATATACCTATGGAGTGAATAATCCCGTCAATAAAACCAAAACATGTCGTAGTTATGACAAAATGCACAAAAAATGGCCTCAAAAGCAAATTTATCCAACCACCACATAATGGTACACAAAAACATGAAATCAGCAGTCACATAATACATGCCGCTAAAATATCAAGCCACATGCAAAAAAGCACAATTACGAGTATAAATATAAGCATATATTTATGGAATACAATATATGCTCGGGAAATTATTCAGTTTACATCACGTGGGTCATGTGTTATAAACAAAATACTAGTTGTGGAAAATGTTTTCTCGTCGACTGAAGCCACTACATTCAAAATTATTGCGGAGATTTAGAATCCACATTTTCATCCACTTTTTCAGCAGGAGCTTTATGTAAAACCCTATCGACTATTCCATATGAAACTGCTTCTTCTGCAGTCATGAAGTAATCACGGTCCATCCACTTTTCTATCACCTGCAGTAAAAAAAACAATGTGAGAAATGAAACAGGTACCAAGTACTATATTTATTTCATACAATAAAAACCAAATATTAAAAATACTTATATTTGTATGTATTACGAAAAGCATGTTTGTAATAACTTAGTCTTGGTGTTATTAGAAAAAATTTTATTCAAACACATTAAACAAAGCAACATAAGAAACAATCTTAAATAGGTAGTAAACAACTTGCAACATATGTAAACAGAAAGAGATTGGTTAACTTCTATGTTGTTTCATACTAAACTAACATTTATAGAACTAGAATTTTTACACGTCGACTGTGAACAAGGTTCGAAAACAAAACTTTACTTTTGAAACAGGTGGTTTTTTATTTGGCGTTCATCCAGTATACGTATAATAAAGGTTATATACATTTGGCTTCTTTATACTGGAAGGTTGGATAAAAATTCATGGTCCCCACAATGTGAGTTATGAGGATATGATGCGAATCTTAATCTACTCGCTACCTTGTAACTAGCACTTGGAAGAATAAGAACTGGGTGAAAAATTTGAAATTGATAAGCCTTAAAATAACTTGAAACAACAAGCAGTAGTGTTGAGGTGAACACTTATCCTAAACTTTTAACTTTTGTTTCCTGTCATTATATTTTTTCCGTTTTTCGATATTGATAGTGTTCCTACGTCTATGCAAATCCCAATTTATATTTTTTTCTCATTCTACAGAATTTAGATGTGACAAAAAACTACTAATATTTGTCAATAGAAGAGCCCGACTATTCAGGTAGTTTTGTTTTTAATACTTATGTTTGAATGGGTCGCTACTTATCTCTATGTTCGTAGTTTTAGATGGGACTGAATGGAGATGAGTACAAACACTGTCCAACTCGGTAGTTATCAACGACTATATAATCAAAGACCGCTAAAACTCATGTGATTTATTAAGACGGTTTGACTACAAACTTCCATAATAATAATATCTAATCGGCATCATAAGTAAAATGTAGTATACATCTGTCGGTAGCAGTTTTTTAAGTTAAAAATTAATATTTTCAAAAGCTTCGTCTGGAGAATCATTATAAAACGTACAAAACTACAAAATACAACTGCACAGTTGAGACTTGATAACTAACAAAACTACGAGGAACCCCAAACAAAATATGAAAGACATTGGTCGTTAGGTGAATATTTTGGTTTCGTACAGACAGGACGTGGAGCAGTATCAGAGTAAACAGATGTTGTTCTTTACATATATGTATGAAGAGAAGGCTCAGAAGTTAGTTTGACCTTTAGTCCCTGGGTCGCAGGTCCGAATACAGCCACACCTACTTCGAATTACGCAACCAGGTGATATCACTAGTTTGGATACATAGTGTGACTTTAAGCCGAGTGCATGAATCTGCACCTGGCAAACGAGATGAATAAACATTCGTATGGCTAAGTGCTTCACAGAAAAAGCAATAACATATGCGGTGTTATCAATTGCTAACATTCAAAACGTTATCCGAAATATTCTCAGAATTATAGTGCTTACTGGCTAAAAGAATGAGGGTGGATGGATATCGAATGAAACTGAGACTTGCTAATCATAGATACATTCACTAAAAGATTTATCCCCTCATTTAGGCTCAGATACGTTTCAGATTGGTTGATATGGCTTTACAACAATTTTAAACGTCAGCACTACAAAATGAGTCCGTGACGAAGCTTTTAATAGCTTGTAACTAAGAAACAGAAATTAAGTTATGGTCACATAATCTAATCACTATTACTTATCCACTCCCAATAGTGACAGGTAATGCGAAACTGTGATGCGACGTCAACCAGCTTCTATGATATTAACCCAAAGTACAGACGAATAACTAAATCCCACACTTATATCAGTCACAAGTACACTGATGCGACGATTCGATCTACAATCGAGAATGAGGTCACAGGTAGATTTTGCTAAAAGTGGAACCTAATCTTGGAGATAAGTTTCCCTATATGGGTCCAGTCTTTAGACCGAAAGACATTTCAATCCTTAGAATTAATACTTATCAGTCACACTGGTAGCTGATAGCTTGCCTAAAGTATTGAGGCCACTTCAGACATCATCCTGGGACAACTGATAGTATTATAGGCTTAAGTACTCAGTGAAATTTCTGACAAACAATCCTGAAACTTGAAATAAGACGAATTTTAGGGGAATTACACAGAAACATTTGCCGGCATAGCTTACTTCCTGGGACTGTTTTGTGTGTCGTTCGTATATAGTGTTTATAACATTACGCGTCCTAATTATCTCCTCTGCCTGAATTTTAATATCCGATGCTTGACCTGAGAGGAGTTAATATTTTAAATAAGCTCACCATGGGCAGAGCCAGATGGTTGATGGACCATTATACGGGAATGAGGAAGAGCGAATCGACAACCAGGTGAACCAGCTGCTAGCAACAAAGAACCCATACTACTAGCCTGACCTATGCACAAAGTAGCAACTGGTGGTCTAATAAACTGCATAGTGTCGTAAATTGCTAGACCTGCAGTAACAACGCCTCCTAAAGACAGTGTGGCAACAAAACCCGTTTTACCTGGACTGTTAATATATAAGTGTATAGGGATCTTCTTATCCTCTGATTGTAAGAACAGGAGTTGTGCGATAACCGACCCAGCTATTTCATCGGTAACTGCACCCATAAGACATATAATTCGGTCCTTCAATAAACGGGAATATATGTCATAATATCGTTCAACATTTGTAGTCTTGTCTAATACCATGGGTATGAGGGGCATGTGATTCTGAAAGCCCGTATGAAAGCTCTTTAGACTAAGATTTTTTATAAAACGACATTGGAAAAGAGCATAACGCGTTAACATTCTAGAGAAAGGAGAGCATCGCATATACTGCAAGGCCATTGTAGCGCCAATTTCATTCTCAATTTCCAACACTTTGTGCTCGCTTCTCGGTGTACATGATACAGTTCACGGTCTTCATCATCATCTATAAAAAGTGAGATAGTATGGTATTTGTGCGAACTATTTGTATCTGAAAGACATTTGACAACCAATTCCAAATACAATACGTTCTTTTGTGCTTATCTTGTTCTACTTGCTGTAAATTTTATTATTCCAGGAATTCATAGTTAGTACATTAATTCGAATACTTCTAATTATCATAACTCTCCAACCGGTTCTATTAGCTTCTAATTCATAGGACAAATATATGATTTAGTATTATTTAAGACAAAGTGAATGCGTTTGCTACGGAGGATCTGTGATATAGAACCAGTATCACGTTAATAGGCAGGAAGATCGCTGACAGTAATAAGAAAATTGTGAAATTTGCATAAAGATAATTAGAGAAGAGATAAGAGATATGAGAAATAAACCTATAGATCTCATGGATATTCGGTATAAAAATAGCATAGGCATTCGATGTTTGCAACGCTTTTGCATGTAAAAAATTTATAATAGAAGTATGCCAACCCAATCAAACAGAAAGTCAGGAATGAATGGGGTTCAAAGATATATTTGGAAAGCTATCAGTTCGTTGAGAAGCGTTTGGTCCTAACTGGCTAGCTGTTACAAGGGATGCGTGACACGGTGTGCCCACTCGACATCTGATGCGGATACGCAACCGAGCACCTTCACTTATTTCAGTCCAGTAAAATTTATGCGGTCAGCATCAGGTGTCGGAGACTTACAGAACTATTTATTTTGGGGATATACTTATCTCTGCAAGTACCTGAAAATGTTGTTGTCGTACAGATTTTCTATTCGAGGGTCTAAAATCAGTCAAACCAGGAGACAGGAATAAAGAGTACGAAGGTACATTTTAAGAGTGACTGCTAATTCCTAAATCTAAGCTGACTGGTTGTTATAAGAAAAACCCAACACAACGTATTAAAACGTGATCTCGTACAAATGTGTGACCGAGCGCCTACGACTAGGGGTTTGATCAATAATATTATTGAGGCCTTGTTTGGGGGACTTGTTTACAATTTCACTTCATCCCCTCTAGTTGTATAGTGAGGACCATAAGACGTGGTCAGTAGGAAGTCCAAATCCAACAATCTTGTCAGTTATAGACATTATTCTAATAGCGTACCACGTCTTTTCCTACTTTAAAGACTAGTAGTTTACATAAAACTCGTTATAAAACAATATATTCCATTCGTCGTTTGTATCTTCAGCTTCTCAAACATGAAAGTTGTCTTGTGAAATAAACGGAAGAAAATCCTAACGCGTGTCGGATATACTTGTTTGGGCCAAAATGGGTGAACCGCGCAAAAGAAAGTTGGTATTTACATGTACTTACATCGTGTGACGGACAAAAGAATACATAGACCGAAAGGTTGCATTTTGGCTGTTTACAAAAGGAAAGTGTATATATATGAGTTGGTTCAAAATATCCTGGTTTCTGGTTTTTTAATATAAACATGTGAAGATACTTTTAAAAATTATACTCTCTGCGTTTTCGACACAATAAAATTTCAAAATGAAACTGATAAGCTGCATAACAGAGGATGAGAGAAAAAGAAGTAAGGTTCGGAAATGTCTTACACAGAGCCGTAGTTCCCTGATTACTTTAGGGTTCCTACAGAGCACGTCATTTTCAGCCACTTATCTGATACCAGTAAAGCTTCTTTGTAGTCGCTTAGGATTGGAAACTATTTCGTAATCTTGGGAATTATATCATTCGATTTTTTAGTCAGAAAGACGAAGGAGGGTGTATTGTCTTCTGAGTAAGTGGCTTTAAGCTGATCAATGTAGCCTTCGTACACATTTACGTTCCTAAAGATCTAAAAGTGCTTAGGTTTGCGATAAAAACTTTGTTGAGTATTCCAAATGTAACTTCGAGAATTCCGTTTTATGAGTCACGACCGGCGTAACTAACCCCAAGGCGGGCTGAAAAAATATATCCGTTGATTATGGTTAGATTATGAAAAGTTTAACTGAATGAATCGCCTGGTCATGTAAAATTTTAGATCCACGCTTGTTTCAGATGGTGCTTGATCTACGAGTTTGTGACGGTAAATAGATCTCCAAAATCAATAGCTCTTCAAGTCTTCGACATTTGGTGCCGAACAAACTAGTTTTAATGGACTGACCTAGCTGAAGGCGCTTGCTCACGCATTCGAACCAGATCACGAATGGGAACGCTGTGAGCAACTTCTCCTGCAACCGCTAGTCAGTTTAAATTAGTCACATCTCGATATATTGACATCCCATCAAATATATCTTCGAACCTTCTCGCTTCTGACTTTTAGTTTCACTGAGTGGGCACGATTCAACTATAGAGGGTGTTACTGGTTAAAGTGTTGTCAAACTCCAAATACTTGTGGCGTCTTCATTGATTGACCCGACGTGATCTGGCACAACGACTCGTAATCTGCATGTTTGTTCTTTTTTGGAATATCATATATCATCACATTACTCTAGTTTTTATATATTGTGACAATGTACGAATCTCTGGGTATTTTTATCCTCGCTCAGTCCTATACTTTATATTCATCACGACTGAACAGACTCCTGTGTAACTTAAGATCAAGAATCTTACATCACCCTCATTTCAACTAACGTCATTCTGACCTCACAACATCAGAGCCTCGTTCTGTTACGCGGGGGCTGATATCTTCGAGCGGAGCGTCACCGATCCATGCGCACAATTCCTCGCAGTAGTGAAGGCACTCTTGCGTGAACTCAACAGGTAAGTCACGTTTAGTATGTTTGTTAGTGATGTTTCGGAATTTTATGAAGCTCTAAAACGGTCTAGCCGAACAACAGAGGTTAGATAAACTCAATAGCATCGACTTATATCATGGCTCAGCAGTGTACATTTTGTTACGAATGAGAGGGGCAATTGGTCAAAAGACTTTCGGCGATGACCTGTTTAGACAGCTTTTCTTGTCTAAGCCTCTTCAGCGGGTGCAGGCAGTGCTTATCTCGATTCACATCAACGCTGTAGACGAGATGGCTACATCTGCTGACTACATTTTCGAGATCACCAAGACTTCTCAGTCAAAGAAAAACCTCAAACAACACAGAATGACGTTACGGAACTCTGTCATACGCTAACAGGTGACCTTCATATTCGTAAAGATCGTAAATAATCACAAACCCCTTGAAAGAGATTTTCACGAAAACGATCTGTCTGTAGACAGATAATCTCGACTGGTGATGATATCACAAACAGTACGGAAAATCTCGAAATCGCAGGAGACCCTTCAATTTTCTGAACTCCAAACCGACTAACACGATAAACGTTTCGGGAAACTTCCCAGCCGGCATGCGTTAACGGCAACCGTAGCCTGCGAACATAGACGTTAATTATGTGATGACGAAAGTTCACTACTTCGTCGACATTGGAGCAGATTTTAGCGTTCTTCAAACGAATTCTACTGACCGACTGCACGAACAGGTTTTAAACCGACCGCCAAATATGGTAAACGGTACGTTTGTTTCAACGTGGGTTTACACGAACCCATTCACTAGATTTTCGTCGTTTAACATGCTTTTATGCCAATCATCTGTATAGATCTGCTCTAATATCATATGTTACTCATCGACACGCGAAAATGGAGGTTAGTAGACGTGAACACTAAGTCATCTCTTTGTGTAACTTCTTTTTCCGGGTGTAGATTATCCTCTGTCACAGTAAAGCGAACGATAGATTCATACTATTATTGAATACCCGATAAGTACTCTGAGATACACCAAACTCAACCGAAATTGCCATGTGTAACCAGTAATGTTACACATCACATCACGACTACATGACCACCTGTATTCTGGAATGCGCACTCACTGGCTCCCTAAGCTGAGGTTGGTTAAAAACGGATTTGATCACATGATAGATTCAATAACCGTTCAGTCATCAAACAACCCAAGGGCATCTCCTTGTATATGGTCCCCACAAAGGGCAGCAATGACTGGCGTCCAACTAGCGATTACCGGTGACAGGATGTGAAAACCACTCCTGATCGCTACTCATTGCCTCACATTCACGATTTGACAGCTACGCTGAAAGGTACATTTATTTTTTTCGAAAATCGACTTGGTTAAACTATATAACCAAATTCATATAGCTGCTGACGACGACAGCAACGAATGTGACGTTACTTTTAGGACGAAGCCTTCATTGCTCTTTTTCTATGATTCTCACAGATCTGGGTGGATTACTTTTTTGGAATAACGGAACAAAACTCAATTCTGAATTAGTTACATATAAACTGTTAGTTTCATACTATACGATAAGATCTCAGTCTAACATATTCATGATATATATGATCATATTCATATAATAACTCACAATCACGTAATTGCACACTGATTTTGGCTATCCGATAAAACCATGCTTTATCATTTTTAAAACCATATATAATCATATTCGACGAAGAATTGTATTTCATATTTGCATTCTATTAATGATATCTTGTTTGGATGCTATAACTCACTTTATGAATTTACAGGATATATTCAGACCACTGCTTAATATTAGGAAATATATATACTCATGCGTGATAAAACGCTATACTCACTAGTTTATACGCTATCCTTTAAATTGCATTTGGTTACTAAAACTCATTTAATGTCCAAAATTACTTGTTCAATTCGGTGAGTTCTTCATAGTTTTTGTTCAGTATTTTTATCCATAAAGCTATTTCATATATTTGGTCATAATGCACCATAATAATCTAAAACGTTAATAACCCCTTAAACTATTTATCTCTGCACCCTCCAATTTTACCTAATGCAGGCCTTCAGTTTATATATGTACCACATACTATACCCACTTTGATTGTTTGATGCTAATTATCGACAGTTCTAATTTACTTTACTATATAAGGCTATCTCTTTGTGTAATATGTATGTTGTATTATACATAATATTCTAGTTTGCCTCCATAAATGTAC